TTTTCATAATTTGACACTTGAAGTTAGAATAAGCCTTAATTTACTTTTAGTTTAATTAAGACAAATAAAATTTTGTTTGATTGTATTGTTTTTTACAAATTTGAGGCACTGTTCACTGATAATTCCTTGAATAAGTAGATATCATTTTCAAAATCACATCATGTTTTCTAAAAATGAGGTAATATTCGGTTATTAGGCACAATAATTGATCTCCCGCGTTTATGCTCAGGGGCGAATGCTATCGGCCTCGATAAACGAATACCCTTTTCAACTTTGCATCCTTAATGATTTTTAAATTAGATAAAGACTGAACTCCAAATTTCTGATTTTAAATATAGGGTAATCAAGGTACCAATTTTTGGGCGCTTGTGGGGGTGTTATTTCTTCCCCACGCGTAATCGACTCCTGAACATGATTTCTGGATTTTCGGAGACCTCAAAACTCGGTATTTTGATAAAAACAAAATGTTTTATTAAAATCATCCGATTTTTATGGTGTTCCAATCGCACGTCAAATGATTGGTGGCGACTCCTCACCTTTCGAAATGATTTTCAAAGAGAAAAGCCCGTCGGTTTCAGTATTTCCCCTTCGGGCGAAAAGCGGTTACGACACAAATCTAATTCGAGAATCCAAAGTATGAAAGATCAGCATGATAACAAATAAGTGTCATCATGATCAATCAAAGTAGTGTCAAATCCAATAATAAAAAAATAAACGAAAGAAATAGCCTAACAATCGATAAAAAAAATGGAAAATGTGCCAAAATACAAAAAAAAAAATTGTATTATAAGAGCAGAGAAATGCGTACCTTTAAATAGAGTTATTGAAAACTAAAATATAAAAAAGTAAAGAAGAAGATCGGCAACCGACAACCATAAGAATGATGCCGCCTCCTGTTAACAAAAATAAAAGAAGAAGCAACTGATCGGCACAAAACTCTGGACAAAATTTTAAAATAATATTTTTTAAATGTTATTTATGTTAGAAGTATTTTTCAAAATATGTAATTTGTAAGGTTCGCGTTTTGTTGATTTCGGAGGTTTTTTTTAATAATGTCATAATATATGTATATATAAATATTGTCTTCAATAAGTCAATTGAGTTTATTTTTGATTTTTTTTAAATCTTATTTATAAATAATGTGATTTGAGAATATCATTGTAAAATTTTGTTAATTTTAAATTGTTAAAGAAAGTTCTTAAACTTGATTATCTTATAAAATATTTGAAATCTTACTATCCAACTTTGTCTTTGATTATTGTATTGATTAAGTATAAGAATCGTTTTTTTATAATTCAAAATCAATAAAATTTTATAACTATATTCTCAAATCCATCATTGCTCATACATGATTTTTTAAAATGGTAGTCTTTCAAGCGTGTATTAATTAAGTTATTAAAGATGATATATATAAACGCTTCCTTATTGTCGATCACTCAATTTATATTTTAATGTGAATATAAGTATATACTATATATATATACTGCACATATTATTTCTTTTAAACAAAATTTATATAATAACTTTAATTTTCAATTTAGTAATTTTTATTTTAATCTTGGATGATAGTAAAAAATCGCTTAACAGCAAAATCATTTAAATATTTTAATAAATAAATAATAGTATTATAATATTGCATTAATGGTTTGACTCCCGAGTTAAACATTTTTTAAAAGCCCACGACGACTTAATTTAAAGCTGTAAAATGATGTAACTGTGAATATTAAAAAAATTAATATTTTTCATTAAGTATAACTTAAAATGTTATTTACGTAATTTTAAATATTAATTTTTTTAATATTTTTTATCTCAACTGAAAATGTTATGAAAATGTTATGAAAAATGTAACATTTTCGGTTGATAACCGAAAATATTAAAATATTAACATTTTAAGTTACGTTCAACCGAAAAATATTAAACTTTTTTTAACATTTTCAGTTGCGTTCAACCGAAAAATGTTAATTTATCATCATCATTTTGAAAAAAAAATAATAATTATAAAACTTTTATAAAATTATTCATATTTTAAAATACTTACCCTAAAGATTTTATATACTAGATTATATGTATTATTTAATTTCATGCAAAAATCAAAATTTATCGAGTTATAAAATAATTTGCAAAAGAATATTTCAAGATTTTAATGTAGAAAGTTTTTTTCACGCATAAAAAATAAATAAATAAAATTGACATTTTTATACAAATATCACCCTAAAATAAATTAATTACATATTAGGCATCATTTTTAAAAAATTTACAATATTAACACCCGGATTTTTTATACGTTTAACAAGGCGCTCTTCAGGGGGCGCGTCTTACCCCACGTGACGCCAGATCAACATAAGGAGCACCCCATAGGGCGGGCCTTATTGCACAAGGTATTAGATCGAGAAATATAGTCTGAACGATGCCTTACAGAAAAAAATTAGTGGGTAAGGGTGATTTTTTTGGGAAAATCGCCTTTTTTTCCCTTCTTTTGATAAATCTGAATCAATTCCAAATTAGTATAATTTATATGGGTTTTTTAGTGTTTACATCTCCGATAATGTCGTGATTATTATTATATTTCGTCAGTTCTTTTTTTAAATACATATAAGAGTGAATTATCTATTTGACCATCTATATATTCATGTGTCTTTATTTTGATCACCCAATTATATCTAACATCATGATTTATTTATGTTTTGATCATTTATCGTTAAATTTAACTGTTAACAAAAATAGTAATATGGTATGATATAATAATAGTTTTAGTCCTCAAAATTTATATATTCTATTAATTTGGTCATATTATGAAATACTTTAATAAAATTTCAATATTTACTTTAAAATAATTTATTAATTTATTAATAATTCATTGATAATCTAATAATTTATTTATTTATTAATATTTTTTAGGATGTGTGCCGCTTCTAAGATTGTCAAGGCTTTAAGATTTATTATATGAATGTTCATTTTCCCTTTTATTCCAAAATTGTTGATCATCTCTGCCGATCACCACATCATTGCTTCAAAATTGGGAGTAAAAAGATATAATATTTTGGTTTTTTGAGGATTAAAATTATTATGATATCATTTCACACCACTATTTACGTTAAATAATGGTTAAACCTAAACGCAAATGATCAAAACAGAAATAAAATATAATATTAGATATGATTTTAAAAAGAAAAAAATAATTGGGTGATAAAAATAAAAAATAGCTTGAATATGTGAATTAGAAAAATATATATTTGTTTAATATGCAATAAGGCTGTTGAATTTGGTTTTTTTCTTCTAAAGCTACTTCTTGCTTTAGTCGTTGATAACAACTTTGTTTAGCTCATAACTTATCTGCATTTCTCTACGAATTCTTCCTGCAGGCAGTGGTAGCTCATGGTTGCAAGATAACTCCTTGCATCATGATGCAAAAGTGGTAGTGTATTGAGGCAGGGTCCAAAATATTCAGTTTTTCCCTCGAAACCTGCAGAGGTTGCCCTTGTGCAGGACCTCTTTGAATTCATTTACGCTGATCTGCTTGTTGACGAAAGTGGGACTGACCCAAGAAAAGGTGGCAGAGTCCATTGACAAGTGGTTATTTTATGGCTTGAGCTTTGTCCATTGTTTCGAGAACTCAATGAACTTCACGTTTAAAGACGGAGAAGAGATACCTCCATTAGTGGTATGGATAAAAGTTTTCATATAATTGTGTGTGTTTGTGTTCCCTTTGTTTGTGCACATTTCAGCTATTAGTAAAATATGTAATTAACTTAATAAAATTCAGATTTCAAGGTAGACATGTACTCACCCTCGAGAAACTATGGATCCGTCACTGGATTTTGCTTAACAAATGCCCTAAGAACGCTCTTTAAGGTTATTATATATAGTAATATCTTCATCCGGTGCATGAACTTTATGGATAAGGTAGTCAATTATGTATTAAGACAATGTTATTAATGTAACTAGTAAATTAAATGAACCTTGAAACACTTCGGGGGCACTGTTAGCAAAATCCTTTTACATTTCATTCCATTCCATTCGGATAGTGAAATGGACATGCAGCTGGCTTACTTGACCTATTCTTTTAATCTTGAGGCAATGGCATCTTTCTTATTATTATTTTTTCATTTTTCTTATCACTTTCTGACGCGGTGTACATTAATAATAGGCCAAAGTGAGGGAAGAAAACCTATTGAAATGCTATTTTAGAGGTGACCATTGATTTTTCCACTGTGGACTTAATTGGGGAACAAACTTTTTGTTACTTCTCTTGTATTTTGTTATTTCAGTTGCGAGGAAATGCTGGGAGCCATGATCTTCCATTCTCTACTAAAAGGAAACAATCTTGAGCAATCATTCAAAAATTCACAGCACGAACCCCAGTGAGACTGGTGATAAAGGAATTATTGGTATTCCTTAAGGTCCAACGGTCGAGCACCAAAAATATTAAAAGTACGAGCATTCAATGTCAAAAAATTGAGAGTTATCTTTGAACATATATATTTATCCTAAATTAAAAAAAAACTCACAAAATATCTTGAAATATGTAGCTTGTCACATTATTCTTAACTGCACATCACTACTTCGGTACATAACCATTAGAAAAGACTTTAATTACATCTAAATAAATCATTAGCTTTTATTTTGCATACAAATAATTTAGAAAAAAAATGATGATTTCTTTAAATACAATACAGGTATATTGAAATAATTTGATTAATTTGAGGGATTTTTTTCCATGAGAACAACTGAGTTTTGATTGGAAACATTTTCATTAAAAGAAATGAATACAGAGAATAAAAGGGATAATAATAATAAACCTTGAATGGTGTGGAGAAAAAAGCCCACAACATCAATTACAGCAGGACAGTACTGCAATTTCCAGAACTTACAGCTTATTTCATTTATTTATTCTTTCAACATGACCGTCTAAAACTAGTCATTGCCCACCATCATCAATGGTATAAACAAAAACAAAAAGTCTCTGTACAGAAATTTATCATTTCTTTCTTGGATGCTTCATTTATATGTCTCCTTTATTTAGCTTCTGCTCCTGCATGTCAATAATTCATTAACCACATTGTTAATCACTTTTTACTGCTGATTATAATAATTAAACTAAAAAGATAATTATAGAATTCAATTTTACCTAATCCAACTGCTTCTGTGCTTTTCATTAACCTTAGGCGTTTACACGATTCAACAAACATTCTGTTAAATAAATAAATAAAATTTAGTCACAATTTCCAAAAGAAACTTTAGCAAGAGCAACATACTAAGTTGAGGGCAATTTTGAGAACTTACTGCCATGGTACATCTCCAATCAGCATCCAATCTCCATCCTTATCCTCGTATGTGGGCACGTACTCAATTCCATTCGCTTGGTCCATTTTCTTCTCATTCCAATAATTTCCTGTAAAATAATAATAAAAAAATCATGTTAATGACCAAATTACTCTTATGAGAAGAAAAATATATGCTCCATATGATATAGTTTCTACTTATGGTGAAACATGAGAACATGTCTTCGAGGGAAGTTAACAGCTGCTGATAACTATTGTACGTCTGGAGATCAACTTTCCTTAAATATGGAGCACCGTCCACCGCCACTTTTACAAATTTGCAACTCTTCTTCCCTCTCTTTGCATGCCCTCTCACCGGCGGCCAACCCACCACTTGCGCCCTACAACATTTTCATATTGCACATTAATCAAAATGAACCTTAAATTAACTGCTACTGACCATTGGGATTCATCCCTTTTATTCTTTAGTAAAGCAAAATTGAACCGGAAAGATAAAAAAACGATGATTGATGAGTTTCATGACTTACTTTGAAACAGGGGATTTAGCAGCCTCTTGGGCATCAATCTGGGACCGACCCAACTTATTTGTGTCTATGTTGTCACCCAGGCTAAGATCAACGGTTTCCGAAAACCCACGTTTACTGCCCAGCCTAGCTCCGCCGTCCAAGGTTACTCTAGACTCTCCGGGTAACCCTAAAGTCAACTCGGTGGCCTCGAAGTTCAAGCCGCTGGCATCAGTTTCCGGTAAGCGTTTCCCATTATCTGATAACATTTTTCTTAAAGTTTTTTTTTCCTTTCAAAACTGGCAATTGCTAGCTATACCAGAAAGCACAAAATTATTTGGCCAACACGTTTGGGTTTATATAAACAATAATGACTACGTAAAAGGAGGCGAAGCATCTAACAGGCAAAATAGTGGAACCATTCATGAAAAGACACGTGTTCTTAGAAAAGCGGTTGTAATTTGCCCATGTAACTAGGTTACAGGAATTATACGACGGGGGAATTGTGTGGGTGTTCGCGTTGCGTGAGATTTTGAATGCTTTAAAGTATTAAAGTTTGGGAGTTGCCGGTCGGGGCCGACCCGGTCACTTTCAGTTAGAGATTCTAGGTGACTAAATAAATTTGTTAAAAATATGCGACTAACGTTTTATTTATTACATTTTTAGGTGTCTATCATTTTCTTCGTTCACTTTTAGGTGTTTATGCAATAATATACGTTAATTCAGTGTATACGTAATATCAAGCGTTAAAAAACATTAATTGATACGTGTTATATTTATATTTTAATTTAATGCAAAAATAAATGCACAAACTATACCTTAAGTTAACTTTAGGTATTTAACATTTTCAACATTATAATTTTAGGTGCTTGCATAGTAACGATATTTAAATTCGATCGTTATTTGACACGTATCACGTTAATATATATTTTTAAAAAAATCTTTATCAAAATATTAAAATATTATTTTTTTAAAAAAAAATCCTCCACACTCCCGTCTCCGCAGCTCCCTCGCTTAAAAAATTTCCTCCTTAGTTGCGTTCAAAACCCCTCCATCGTCCCCATAAATCCCTAAAGTTAATTTAGGGTAAGAATGATAAAATGAGATTAGAGTTAGGGGTTCAATTTGTATTTATGAAATTTGGGAGATTGGGACAACTACACGAGGGATGGTCAACAGTGGAGGTCCGACGACAGATGAGTAATAGTTTGACGATGGTGAAGGTAGCCGGTAATGACCGATGATAACTAGTGATAAGGTTGAAATAAGAAATTTTAGGTTACACATGCTTAAATTAATAATATTATCAAGTTTTTTAAAATAAAAAATTTAAAAAAATATAATCATGACTAGTGTCACTTAACGAGTTTTTTAATGATCGTTACTGCGTGGATACATAAAAGTGTAACAGAGGAAACACTAGACACCTATTTATAACGAATTTTTTTAGCACTTAAAGTTAACTAATGATATATTTTGAGCACTTATTTTTGTATTAAGCCAAAATATAAATTTGACACGTATCACTTAATAATTTTTTAACGGTCATTACTGTCTAGGCACTTAAAAGTGTAATAGAGAAAATATTAGACACCTAAAAGTGTAATAAAAAAATATTAGGTATTTATTTTTAATCAAAAATTCTTTAGACACCTAAAGTTAACTTATATATAGATTGAACACTTATTTTTATATTAAGTATTTAAAAAATTATATTAAAGATAAAATATATAAATAATCATTGAAATTTGAGTAAATTTTTGTATTCAACATTAAAAATTTAAAAGTAACGAAATATTCATTAATGTTTTCGTTATATAATAAATCGATCGCTTCATCTTTAATAATTGTTAGTTAAATCATGATAATATGATCTGATAGTGAAGGAAACTTACTTGGTGTCCTTTGGCCACGTTGATTATAGTTTGACCGGTATTTTGATTAACTTTTAATCAAAAAATATAATTTTTTTCTAAATTTATCTTTTTATTTATTGATTTTTTTTAGACAATTCTTTGACCGGTGTTTCTTCCATTTCTTTCCCACTATTAATCATTTTCTTCTCAAATCCTATTTCTGTTACTTCGAAGATGATTCACTGCTTTTGCACTCTGTGCAGTACTTTTTTATTGTGTTTCGAGCAAATATCAACGACATAGAAAACAATAACGACCAATCAATCTAACCGTGAACATTTTTCCATTATTCAATCAGTTAAAATATTAAAAGTCGAATATTTTTAAAGCCGCGGAGCATGGAATTAATATAGAAATTATAATTTAAAAAATAATAATAATTGAAAACAGAGAAGGTTTAAAATGCTATAATATCATGGACCCACAAGGGAAGATGCATGTGATAAAGTATGTTCTAAATAGAGGTAAAGGCGCAGAATCAAAGACCATGAGAATGATGGGACACACAGTTCTTAGAATAAAAGTCAACTTTACGCGATAGAAGACCATCACCCTCAGGAGTCTGGTCCCATTGCTTCCATGTGATCATCATGTTTCTTTGTCGGTAATTAAACTCCTCATTTTCTTTATTTTCTTTCCTTCTAACAACTTTTTAAATATTATTCCAAACTCAAGCTAAGGAAATGTATACAAAGGTAAATTTATTAAATCTTGAAATTATAAATAGAACTATTGATATGTTATTTTTTATTTTTTTAAATAATGATGTGACATTACCTTTTGATAACACATCTACATTACCCTTAAGTTTTTTACGATTGAGTATAAAACTTAAACTAAATGTTAGATATGATTTTGAAAAAAAATAATTTAGGTACCAAAACAGAATAAAGTAATAGTTTAGATACTAAACATGTAATTTAGCCTTGATTTTTTATATGTGGTTAATATAAAAAGAGTATCTTTTGTAAGGGAATCAAATAAATGATTTTTTTTGGAATGAAGCAGAAGCTAGAGAATTACAATTCAACGAGATCGGAAAAACGGAGGACCATGAAGATCCCTGCAAAGAATAAAGTCTAAGACCATCTGGAGGTGCCATGCATTTACGAGAAAGGATAATCCAGCGAAGCACTGAGAAGAAGATGATATGCGTCACTATTGTCAGTTTGAACCAAGACTCCTTCAAAACCTTGAAACCACGCCAAAAGAAGGCCATGACAAATACCACAAAGTTCGGCCAAGAGGACCCCAAGTCTTTATTGAAAGCAGAGATGAAGTAATCTCGGAAGATACCGCCAGATGAAGTAACCTCAACATCTGTTATGAATTAATTGTGTTCGGACGTTGGTAATCTATAGCTAATATTTAAATTGATCGTCAAATCATAAAATATTATAATTTAACCCTCATACTATTAAGCATTCTAAAATTTTAATAAAAAGTAGAAGTTAAATATCCTTAATAAACAAAAGAGATGGGTAAAACTAAATAAATTTAGAATTTACAATATATGTATATTTCATGTTTTAACAATTTTTTAATCTTTTATTATTATTATTTTTCTAATTTCCTTTTACTAGTTTTGATTACTCAACCAAAAAGAGAGGGTGCCATTTTTTCCCTACCTTCCATCACTTTACTAACTTCAATCCAGACAAGATCTAAAGTGGAAATGAAATGAATTACTTTATTATTTTCCTTTTTTAGAATAAAAAACTATATTGTATTATATGATAATTAAATATGATGTCCATTATTATAAAGAGAAAGAGGAAATGAGAGACGAATTCAACGTCATTGATTGGGAAGAGAAAGTGTATTATTTCATTATTCGACCGTAAGCCTTTATTTTATACTAAATTATGTCTTATTTTCAACGGATCACTCCATGTTATTAGTAGACAATAAGAAGTATGGGATCGTCTAAAAAATTCCAAAATATTCTTAAGAGTCTGATTTGGAAAGCAAAGAGATGAAAAAGAATCAACAAGATGACTTGAAATAGGGGATTTGTTGGGCCTCCCTTCAATGCTTTCGAGATTTCCTATTGTTAACTAATTTGCTTAATATCTCTTCTCTTTCAACAAATCCAATGAAATATGGAATAAATCGATAAGATCATTAAAAATGATTCTTTATTCGACATAATATATTATATACATATATATATTATGTGTTAAGGTTCAATAGTATAAAATTTAAAATAATTTATTTATTCATTGAATGGTTAGATTAACCGAAGGTTAAAACTTTTAAATTAATAATAATATTAATTTAAAAACACATTTTATTTTAAATTTTTAATCCTAACAATTTGCTTTAAAAGTACATATATTATTAAAAAAAAATTATATTGTATCAATGGATCTTAATATATATATTTATTAACATAACAATGAAACTTGATTAAATATGTATTAAAAACTTTTATTTCATTTTGTTTGTTCTTACACTTTTATTTTTATTAAAGTGGATTAATTAGAAAAATAAATCTAATAAATTTATGTCAATTATCTTCTGACAATAATAATAATAATAATAATTTTATTATTTTCTGCAAAAATAAAAAACAATTTAAAATAATAAAAATGAAATGTTCCATTCTTCTCTAGATAAGGGACAATGTAGATTAGATTCTATATCAGGAATATTTAGGGATTACAGTTGATGCAAACCACGTGCATTTTCATATATTTATAAAACAAGTTATTCCACTCATTTCCGCGTGAAGATTCTTTAACTTTAAGAACGTTGTTAATACATATTTTAAAGATATAATGAAAAAATATATAAATTAATTAAATAAAAGGTAGAACACGTGAAAACCTGTTTGTTTTCCAGGTTAAAATACTGTTTCACTACTAAATTATCAGATACGAATTATGTCTATAAGCATATGTAATGAGAGAGAACACAAGTTTGAAAAGAACAAGATAACATGGGCTTTCAGTTGAAATTTCTGAGGCTTGCCTTCGTTGTGTTCGGTAATATTTGACTTAATGATCTTCAGCTAGCGACAGTTTCTTAGATTCTTCCAACAACTTTACCTGGCTTTGGAATTTTAATATCCCAACTTGCCTATTTTGGAATTTAACTCTTACATAATTTAATTAGTTCAAGTGGTGATTTGTTTTCTTGTTAATGATTTATGTCAAGAGTTTAAGTTTTGTCATCTATAAATTGTTTAATTTCTTTCATGGATCGTTTGATCAATAATATTTAGTTACATTGTCGTTTGATCAAGAATATTCCGTTATATTGCCGTTTTATATTTTGTAAATTGTCATCTATAACTAGTTCATTGACCTTGAATTATTAATCAAATATGATTTATAATTTTCTTAACATTTATTATTTTACGAAACATTAATCATAGTTATGTGTCCTCATGAATTGTTAATACATAAAAAATGTAATTAAGATTTCAAATAAAAAACATATTGTACCATTTATTTTATATCTTCCGGAAACATTATTCTCATCTATGCCCTACACTACAAAAAATTAGCTGACCCTTATTCCCATATGTAATGGAGTAAGGGGGAGGTATGATAGTAGGTTGTTATCAACACCAGGTTGAGAGCAGAATCTGTAGAAGACCACTGAATTATGAAATGCCCTACACTACGTATCCTCTAAAAAGAATGTTGTGTTCACCTATATTCTTCACTACATATTTTTTGAAAATATTGTTCTCATCTATTTCTAGTCTATTGACCACATGCCTCCACCTAACATTTCTTTCGGTTTACATCTATATCCACTTCTTTTTACTCACCCACTCGCTAGACAATCAAAGGATAAGACTATGTTAGTACCCCTTTGATGCAATCGTCATTAGTCGCCTAGAAACAATAACAACGCGAAATATAAAAGAGGATTAACCCTTATGCTATGTGAGGAATCTTTCTCGTTTTCTAGACTTCTCTCTTTTGTACTCCAATCTCCACAACTCTCGAACATCTCTTATTCGGATCATCAACACGTTTAATCATGGGCACATTATTAATAATATTTTATTTATTTTTGTATTGATTATTACGTTCAACAAACTACGTACTCATAAACCGATCATCTATTATTTATTTATATTATTTTACCTACACAAATAAATATGAACAAAAAATAAGATCATTTATTAAATAAAACTATTTGGATATAGATATGTCAAATTCATTTATATTTGTGATTAACTCGTTATTTAAAATTAATATTTTTCCTACAATAATACTTTCAAATTTTTATATTTTTTTTTCTTGTGTAATATAATTATTCATATTTTTGTTTCATTAGTTTACATCTAAAAGAAATATGTTTATTCAAGACATGTATGCTTATTTGTTATTTATGAATAAATTTTTAATTATTTGTAAATATATTCAATTATATTTTTATCATCTTATGAATTTATTTATGAACATGTTCATTTAATAGTATTTATTTAATACTCAAAAATTTTAAATAAACGAATAGAAATCGTCTGTCCCTCAATAGTACCCCGCTTCCTGACCCTCACCATTACACGCCTTACATTTATGTTTGAATTTCCTTTTATATAATTTGTTTATTTAAAGATAAATATTAATTTAAATTATATTATATTATATTAATAATTTAAATCAAATATATTTATTTTTATATTATATATATTATAATAATTCGGTTTTAAGAATATAAAAAATATTTCAATAACGTATTAAATTTATTCATTTTTGAGATTATTTTTTTATTTTGCTAAATTATTACAATAATTTTAAATAATGAATTTAAAATATTAAAACTAATGTTATAAACATAATATCAATAGACATATTTTTCTCTGGTATTATTGCATATCGATATTGATATATTTCAATCTAGCATTCCAGGTTTATTATTTTTAACATAAATTTTATATATTATATATAACACACTATACCTTAATTACGTAGATAAAAATAAATTTACGTAAAAAATATAAATTTTAATCAACTTTAAAAAATTTAATAAAATTATATTTTTATTTTTAAATATAATTGTATAAAAATAATTAAGAAGTATTAAATTTTTATATTAATCAATATAGGTCAATGTGTATGATACAAGATGTTGATCAAAATGAATCAAAACATACTAAAACGATTGAAACGCACTAAAATTTTGATCAAAATATAATTTAAATCATAACAGGCCATCTAATACTAGTATTAGGCCTGTTGAATGAAGCTGTTGGACAAGGTTTTTTTTTTTTTTTACTATCACCCTAAGTGCAAAAGGATTGGTTTGACCCACTTGTGCTTTGCAAATGTCATTCTGATTTTTTGCAAAGGCACTTTTGATTCAATTGTGAGGGTGCAATGTGTGCGTAGGAAGTTTTATGAGTTTTCAGGGCTGAAACTAAACCAGTCACAGGTAATTTCTCAAGATGAAAACCAGTCACCTTTTTTGCATAGGTTGTTGTGGTTTTCAATGAATGTTCCTAAACATTCAATCATTGGATGGATGGATTTCATGGACAAGTTGGCCACTACTGATAGAATTTTGATGATGGACATTCCAGTTGATGATCTATGCAAGAATTGTGGTTACATGTCGGAGAGTAGGAGCCATATTTTCTTTGAATGAACTTTTGCAAAGGAAGTGTGGAGCACCATTCTAAGGCTCTGCAATGTTAGTAGGAAAGTGAGGGATTGGAAGGGTGAGAATACTTGGGCTGTGGCAGTTTTGAAAGGTAAGTCCTTGATTGTTTTCATCCTCAAGGTTGCTTTGTGTGCATGCATTTACCTCATATGGGAGGAGAGGAACTATCTAGGAGAACTGTTAGATGTGTAGGGAACATACACAATTCTAAAATTCTTAACAAAGACAAATATACTTAAAAATAACAAATAAATTTGACAAACGTCTATTCGTATAAGCTCAGTTAATTTACAACCTAAATTTGATACTCTAAAATTGTATTCAAATAAAAAGAAAGATAGCACAAATTCTTAAGTATATTAATTCAAAAGTGATCTAAAACACCGAATAACATATATAACAGTTTGAAATTCATGATGAGGAAGCAAATATTATTTCCTATCAATTAGGGGTTGTAATCATCCCAAACACACTTTAGCAAAATATGCATCAAAACATCATATAGTAACCTAAGAAAAGTACATTTCAAGTACTTTATTAATTAATGTGACATAAAGCAAGAAATATTGTCTCCTTAATTAATCAAAAGGGACTTATAACCATCATTACCATTAATTTTAACAAAGTATAGTATCAAAGGGTCAAGTGATTCTTGAACTAGGGCATTAATTCTTGCATGGGCCCTTTTCTAGTCACTCCTTCAAACTTCCTTTGAGAGCTTCCCCTGGTTGCATCACTCCAAATCCCTTGACATCTGCCCTTTTCATGACCCTCAGTCTTTTGCATGATTCCATGAACATTCTGTAAATTATCAATTAAATTTGTTAATTATTACTTGACACCAAAAGTTTTACCTTAAAAATAAACAAATATTTTCCTAACTTTTGCCTGCTGTGAACATGAATTTAAGGTTTTATATCTAAAAATTGAACTTACAAGTATCCGAAGGTTAGATATTGTTTTTTCTATAAAAAAAATTAAATAAATCAAATTTAAATAATTTATATCAAATTTAATTTAAGCTCAAATAAAATATTTGAAAGCTCAGAAAAAGAAATATAGGTAATTTAAGTTAATAGTAGCAGAGGGTTTATCATTTGAGGGCAATATCGTTGTCAAAACCGACATATTATATGGACTTCGCCGATGCCGGTAAATATTAGTCCAACCTCGTGGAATCCAATTATTACGGTGTACATAAGTACCACTATTTTTTTAATATAACTATTTTTAATACCATATGTTTAAAATTTTAAAAATAAATAATAAAATTTTTGGCGATAAGTAAAGGACAGTTCTTTATTTGTGGGTTTTTGAAAATGTGGTAAATTAATTAAAAATATTTGGTGTAACTGTTGAAAAAGTGTGGTGAAAAAAAAATATTCATTTTAAGTATGAGTTTAAAAAATTAAAAATAACTTATGTTTTTATTATTTTACATTTAAAATTTAACAATTAAAATAAAAAAATAATTATTTAAGTTTTTAAGAAACTGGTGTGAAAAATACTTTTTATTCTAACAAAATTTTTAACTTTTTGTTGTTGATTTTATAACCGAAAATTATTTTGAACCCTAAAAATTAGTTTAAAAAACAATAAAATAACCTAAATACTAATATTAACTTCAATCATATTGTATCAAACAATAATATTCTTTTATTTGAGAGTTAATTATACTAAAAGTCCCTAAAATATTACTTTTATTTTAAATTAGTCTCTTAACTTTTGAACATTCTAGTTTTATCCTTAAACTATGAATCTCTTCTAAATTGGACTCCAAATTTTTGGGTGTTTCAATTCATTCCCAAACTATGACTCTTATTCTATTTTAGTCCCCAAACTTTTAAATATTCCAATTCCATCCCTAAACTTTTAAATGGGTTTGAGGGACATTATTGGAGTATTTAAATGTTTGAGGATCAATTTAGAATGAGAGTCATAATTTGGAGATTAATTTGAAATATTCAAAAGTTTGAGGATCAATTTAGAATGAGAGTCATAGTTTGAAGATTAATTTGAAATATTCAAAAGTTTGAGGATCAATTGCGAGTGAGAATTATAATTAGGAGATTAAATTGAAATATTAAAAATCTAGGGACTAATTTAGAATGAATGTTGTTCTCCCTATACATCAATAGCTATATCTGCATGATTATGCATAAAAAAATTTAAAAAGATAAATTCTTGTAATCATACTAGACTATTAGAAAATGTGATATATAAGTAGTACAAGTCTAAAAAGAAAAGATCGCGATAAAAAGAGTTTAATCATTAATTAAAAATTTGAAACTCAAATCCAGGGTATATTAACATTTAATGGATGATTTGTGAAAATGTAGTTGGAAGAATAGACTTACTCCCAGGGAACATCTCCTGCTAACATCCAGTCTCCATCTTTGTCTTCATATATGGGAACGAATTCACAGCTGTCTGCATCCCTTAACGCCTCTCCTGTTATCATTCATATACCGACATTAATTAACTTAACCCCCTCTCTTTTCTTAATACTATCAAATATTATTTAAAGTTGGTTGTGCTTCATGATGAGAAAAAAAAACTCACCAAAGAGCTTCTCCAATGCAGTAGCAAGATCAGAGTAGCCTTTGTGCACTGCTAGATCGATTTTGCGAAGGAAAGGAGCCCCATCCATGCTAACTTTGACGTAAAACTTTGATGTTTTAGATCCATCTTTATCTCCGAAACTGTTCTTTTTCCGATACGAGCATACCGGCGGCCACCCCACGACTTGACTCTTTCCATTGCTCTTCTCATTCTCATCCTCCTCCGAAATCTCCGAGAATACCCTTTTCTTATCCTTTTTTTGGGTGCCACCGCCTCCGGGGAGGCCCAACCTCAGCTCCGTGATTTCGAATCCCAGATCTTCCTTAGCCATTTTTTTCTTTTGTGTGATGAAAACTTTGCACTTGTGGGTTGAAAAGATGATATATTGGTTTGTTTGTAGGAAACAAGAAATGTGAAATGAAAGAGTAGTTTTTATACAAAGGTAGGGAAATAGTGGGAGCAATTACAGGTCAACTTAATATGGCTTGGTGGTCGGTCACATGAGAGGCAAAAGTGGGGGACTTTACCGGCACCATAAGTTGGCCATGGGGACATGATCCTAAGGGCTGTCTAATTTCAGGGGTATTATTCGATTTGGCGGGATTCATAGTGGCCATTTGATTTCGTGATTTTGAAACAGGTCCATGTGATATCATATCATCCCCTTTTTTTCTCCTTTTTGGCAATAAATTATTGAAAGACCGCCCAAAAACAACACCATGATATAGGGGGCAACTATGTTTTCTATGTATACCCATGTATTGTAATGCTGCGCACCATTCATAGCCGGCACTACCATGCCTTTTTTTTTTTACAAATGGCATCGCTAAATTTCGAATACTTCCCACTTTAGTAATACTTTAAAATTAAATGTTTTTCATATATAAAAAAGAAATATTGAAATCAAATTGTTAACTTAATGTTTAATTAAGATTAATGCAATGTTTTTTATTATAAAAAACATAAGCCACAATAGAAAAAGGACATATTTTTAAGACGATAATTAATATTTACAATTCAAATGATCTGCATGATAAAATATAACATTCAAAATTTAAATTTTAAAAATTTCAATATGTCATGTTTACTGAATTTTATATTAGAAAAGGGGTTTTTTTTATTAAACTAAACGTGATTACAAAGTGTTCACTTGTTCCAAGTACTTTCAACTATTTGAAAATAAATATTCAATCACCCTTATAGTCGTTGGTGCTTGAACCTGTGACATCTAGTAACATCAATGATTTTTTTAACCACTGATGTAAGTTGACTCGGACTATGTTTGATGTATTGATAATATATAATTTTATATCTGATCAATAAATTAAATAATACCATTTAAATAAAAATAATTTTATATATTTTTATTTTAAAAAAATTAATTAGTACGTCATTTTATTCACTAAAATTGTATCTATATACACGTTATCCATACATAAAATATAAAAACTTACTTTTATCTTTAAGAAATGAATTTAAACATTTAAATTTAAATTTCATTTGTTAGGTAAATTGAGAGAATAAAATACACAAATTATATAAAACAAAAACATTATTATTATTTTTGAAATTTAAAAAAATCTCTATAGCTATTTGAAACCTTATACAAAATGCACGATTGTATAGTAGAATTGAAGTATTAACAGCAGAAAACAATGGGCTGTCATCAAGATTTGCTGCAATGAATTATGAGAAACATGAATAATTCAATATCTTTTTTTAAAATAAAGAATAATTCAATATCTAAGTTGGTGCCATTGGGGGTGCATAAATGATTAGTCAAATATTTTGATACTTAAGATCACGATCAATGTGTTTTGCAAAGAAAACAATAAAATTCCAATATTGCCCACCATTAATTATAATTAAAATGAACAAGGACCAATGGGGCATGCATGCACGCATAGCCATGATCATCATGAAGAATTATAACAAGCACACTTACCATCGTCGTCCACATTTGATCTATACGTGGCTGCATAGTGGAACTTGAGCCAATTTATATAATATCATATTCTCATATATAAGAAATTAAGCGAAATTACAGAATTTTCCTGAGAAAACTAATTAATCTCCATATTTTTTTTGTCTTGACCAAAAACGTTTAGAGAATCTAGACAGCAAAGAATCTGCAAACTTGGAAAACACAGAATCCATATGATTCCTTGTTGATATACAATCTAGAAATGGTCTCCTAAAAAAACTTGTTTAAATTCATAGTGCATGGTAGATAGTATCACTATTATTAATACTTATAAACCTAATCATAATCATTGAGGAATCTATGCTTAGCATCACATAAATTTATGATCCTCTTGAGTTTAATTAGTTGAGTTCAAACGACAAAGAAATATACTTCCTAGTCTAATTATCTATATAATAAATATTCGTTTACATTATTATTAATGTTGCGGAAATAGAGAACCAAATACAAATTACAACAAACTTTTAAGTTGGTGCATGCACATGACATTTCTGTATTTGATTCAAATCATAGGCTTAATCACTTTGAATAGGATGTAAAGATGAATATATTAGACGTATTGAAGAAACCCTTGTTGGTTATTAAAAAAATGATTTGTGTCTTATTGATAGGGTTACTATAACTGAAGAACAGGACAATGTCCTTCTGTTGGGATTAGTGTAACTAGGACATACTGATTATTTTTTCTGCACATGCTAATCCTACTTTCTTACAGTTCACGTTACCAACCTTTAATACACTGAAATTAGTTAATTAATTTTTATATAGAAAAACATCATAAGTGAAATTGAAAACGATAGGTTGCACAAACCAAACCATCTCGGTGGTAAAGGAATTGAAGAAATTGTTGTTATTCTTTAAGATTTTGGGTTCAAACGTAAGGAATGCTAGGGGTGTTTAATGTCAAATGACTAAGAGTTATCTTTGAGTAGATATTACCTTATACTGATCTCATATTAATAAAAAAAAACGACATAGTTTAATTTTGGGCAACTACTTATTTGATCACCCACCTATTACTTGGTTTATGTTTTGGTCACTCTACTAATTTTTCAAAATCATACCTAACGTTGCGTTTCGGTTTTGTTTTGATTACGTGGCGTTAAAAATTAACGATAATGTTGACATGTCACCATTAGGTAATACCACACCAGCATCGAAAAATAACAATAAAATTGCCACATCATAATCACCATTAATATTTTTAATTTGAGTGACCGAAACAGAATCAACACGTGGCACTAGATATGATTTAAAAAAAATTAATTATTGGGTGACCAAAATAGAAACTAAGTAATAGGTGAGTTATCAAATAGATAGTTTACCCTGGATTTTTTTTGGAGTCTTCTTTAAACCAGATGTAGCCTTTTTACTTATTCCATGATTGTCAAATATAATAAAAAGTTGTGAATGAGTAGTAAATCTTGCCAGTAATACAGTATAATATGCATTGAGTGGTGCACTTATGTTCAATGTATTATGAACCGTAGAACATATTCATTTACAACAAGTAAATAAAGTTTCTGGTGCTTTGTGCTATTCATGTTAATTAATAATATTAATGCTTTCCTCTCTCTTTTACTTAATTATCAAATCTGGTTTCAGGTTTGATTATTTCTTCTTTTGGTGGAAGCCATTGCCAGCTTTTCACTTTAATCACAGACAATTGCTAATAGTATAATTAACAATAATCCAAGCAGTTAGGCTTCCAAAGATAGCTTAGTGGTTTTTGTTTTGGGATTGGAGATAGATTTTTAGGACATAAGGTGGCAGCATAAATTAAACATAAAAGATCCCAATGACGATTACTCTTGGAACATGATCAACTTGAGAACTCGTCAAATTTTGATTCACTGTATAAAATATACAAAATTTAATGGGAAATGTTTCTTCGCAACAGAGCATATGTTCCCCTAGGGTTAGACAAGACAATAAGATTCATGCAAGGGCCCTACTCCTCCAAAGGACCGTATTAGTCTTTTGTCTTTAAAAGACTAATCGGGGTTACTGGTTTGGTCAGACAACATAGCCCACATCATAGTTAATATATATATATATATGCCCAGTTTTTGTCATGAGGATGGATTAAAAGGACGGGTGAAGATAATCTTTTTTTTTTTTAAAAAAAAGTAAATTCTCATATAATATAAGGTTTGTCATAATTCCTCTTGATAATTTGTTTTCACCTCTAACAATTCATAATTTTTTTTAAATTTTTTAAATTTATCCTCTAACATAAAATCATATATATATCATAATCGATAACTGATAAACTCTTCCGTTGATTCAGGAGGTTAGTCCTTGAGCTGGCCCATTTATGAGAATGCGTGTGGACCGGAGAGACAACAAGTATCTGGAGTCGTTGAGAAAGGACATAGGCAAGTTGTTGAGATCGTATCTTAAGTAAAAAGTGATGGTAACTATACAATAAAAAAAGGGAAGGTTCCTTACAAGTTTTTCTAATATTTTTCTTATTATTAATTTAGGATAAATATAAAATAATATTTATTTAAATATAATTCTTAATTATTTAAAAATCTTAAGAAATAATAATCATTTTTTTATCATCGAAATCGTTTAAATCGTATTTTTTCTTTAATAATTTTAAGTTTAAACAAAAGGACTAAAGAATTTATGCCAAACTTTTCCATCATTTCTTTCGGTTCCTTTTTTACGCAAGTTGATGTAAAAGATATGTATGAAGCATGAGAGTACGGGGAAACATCTCTAGTTTATTATTATTTATATATCTACATAAGTTATTTTATTCGTCTTTCTGAAAAAAAGATTGAGAAAGTAAAAGGAGAGACGGTTGAAAAAAAATAAAATAGAATAATTATTCGAACACACCCAACAGAAACCCGATATCTTTGCTTTTGGAAATAGATATATGGAAGTCTAGAGAATCTTTACGTTCTTTGTTTTGTAAGGTTAAATGTTTATAATAATTAATAAACTTTAGATCATAAAACAAGAATAAATTCAAAATAAAAAAAAGAACATATGTGATAACGCCTGCTTCATACAGATGAAGGCTATTAAAGAAAAGTTCAATATTAAATTAACAAAAATTGTCAGTTAAGAATCAAATTTATCATTTTTAATAAAATACGATTAACATTCCAAATTTTGGGGTAGCCCAAATTGATTAAATAGGTGGTGAGCCAGAATATGTTTGGCTCACATCGCTAATACGATCCAATCATAATTTTGACTGTTCCTTATCTTTAGAAAACCAACTGTCCTATAACATTGGTCTATTTGATTTGAATGTTGTACCGTTTGGGTTGGGATAAGATAGTTCATACCACTGCTTTAGATATTTTACGAGTGGCTCATCAAGGAACACGTTTTTTGGTTTTAGCTGGTAGATTGCAACAACAAAAAAACACAATATTTAAGCCTTGGATAATATTTTTGAAAGATTTGCACATTTTTATAATTTCATAACAT